TATTTTATATGTATTATGGATTTGTGCTTATATACGTATATTATTTAAAATTACATTTACATATATTATACATATAGATAACATCTTCAATAAACATAGATGTTCCATAGATTTATAGATTTATTATATACGTCTATGAGATATTTTGTTCTATGTGGGTATCACCTTCAATGTATCCAGCATTTATTACTGGCTGATATGCCACGCAGGAGAGTATTTTACGATTGGTTTTAAATCAAACAGATAATGATCTACAACTTTTACAAAACATTTTATGGAGAGATGAGGCCATATTTACCATGCAAGGTATTCTCAATCAAAGAAATAGTCATATTTTATCACATGAGAATCCTCGAGTAATCCATGAACAACATTTCCAACAACACGGTTTTCAATGTAATGTATGGTTAGGGATAATGGACAATATTTTAATTGGACCCCATTTTCTACCAGCTCGTTTGAATGCGAATGAATTTCTCCTATTTTTGTATAATGAATTTCATGATTTTTTGAAAATATTCCTTTGAATGTAAGAGTGAACTCCTGGTTTCAATTGAATAGCTATCCTGCTCACTATGGCAGAAGTCCTCGACAGTAGCTTAATATTCATTTTCCTAGAAGATGGATCGGTCGTGCTGGATCTATGGTTTGGCCTTCGCGTCTACCGGATTTACACCATTAGATTTTTTTGAATAGAATATTTTGAAGCAAAAAGTGTATGGAGTGCCTGTTAATGACCTTTAATCATTACAACGAAGAATTGTGCACACTCAGAGAAAAATGTATGATATTTGAAACTATAATGGCATAGTAAAAAGATTATAGTTAGGAATATCTTTTTTATAGTAAATGTCACTATAATGTTTGTAATATTTACAATATAAGCATAGTATAACTGACTCATGTAAAACTTTTACCAAGAATAATAATTATTTGAAATAAAAAACATAGTAAGGTAGCAAATATTAAATGGTAAGAGAAATATTTTATATAGAACTATTTTATATAGTCAATACAATTGGAATATTTGGAAAATATTACATGTAACTATATTCCCAAAGCGTGTTTTACTATACATATAGAATAATAAAATGGTGACTATAAATGTGTGTTCATTCTGCTATATCTTCGTGTTTAGATAAACTATAAATATATGTTTGAGGCCAAAACGAACTATAAAATATAGTGAGATTATAGTTATTCCAACTATTTTTTTCTCTCAGTGCAAGCGTGCGAAGAAATTACAGAAGCACAATGTCAATCAGCCACTCGTTCTGTCATCGATAGGTGCAATGCTAGTCTCCGGGCTGGAGGCCATCATTTTGAACAAAACATTTAATATAATATTTAAATTTTGATTATTGCAGAACAATAAAAAGAAGAGAACTTATTTTGACTTTATTTCAACATTATTCATTCGTATAGTTCTGTAACTTATGATGTCGCTATCTCCTGAACAAAGCGTTTACGAGCAAACTTCCAGAGGAAACGTTATCTAACACGTGAGAACGAGTGTATAAGAACTGCTAGTATCTCGCATGTTAAACTTCACATAGCCATCATATTTTTCTGCACATACGCGAAATAAATCGGGGCATAAAACTTTTGGATCTTACTACGTATATTTTTTGCTAGATTTCCACAAATTTGCTTATTAGAATGGTCCATACAATCTAATGCTTGATTATTTTACTTAAACTAATAACAAAAAATTAATATTTTATATTTTACGTCGCTGCGTGGTTTCAATTTTGTAGCGATCCCTTATATTTTCTCATACCGCGCTACCCATTGCTTTACCTAGATAATCGAACTAGAATGGTGCCAATGAATTATGACAATATCTTGGTGAATTATATTTATAATACCCTCTTCTATGCGAGAAACATTATAATGATATATTTATTGATAAATCCCTTTATAATAAAGTATCATTGGCTATGATAAATTAGCCAGTGATAATTATGAATAATATATTTTTATTACTCGTACGAGTAATGAAATTATTGAACGACAGTAATTATCACTGGCTAAATTATCACTTATCAGTATGTAACGGCCTTGCGTTACGTGCGGGATAGTCTTAGTCGGTGTGGTCCGGGTTTCGTTTGTGAAATGAAAAGTAGTGGTGTAGGTTATAATAATGTGGAACTATATTCTAATTTCGAAGTTATGTACAATTATTTACATGCGATGTTACGCCGTTGGCGCGTGGTCGCGTTTTTGCTCTCGTCGGGAGCCGATGTTGTCGTCTCGCGATCAGCTGCGAGCGTCGAGGCGCGCGAGCGTCCGGCGGGACGCGGTCGGGAATATTTCCTGAAATGCTATTGTTCGTCGTTTGGAGTGTCTCGTCGGCTTTAAGCTGTTTATTTACCCTGGTTTTAACCTGGCTGGTTTAAAGGCGCTCGTCGTCACCGGTATCTTACGCCCTGTATGCGTTCGCGATCGTAGGTGTTAGCGTGAGGAGGAAAGGATGTCGACGTCGCGTATCTACTTTGGTCGACGAAGCGGTGTATGGATAGGAAACCGACGTCGCGTATCCACTTCGGTCGGCAGAGCGGTGTCGGAGAAAGGATGTCGACGTCGCGTATCCACTTCGGTCGACGGAGCGGTGTATGGATAGGAAGCCGACGTCGCGTATCCACTTCGGTCGGCAGAGCAGTATCGGGGAAAGGATATCGACGTCGCGTATCTACTTCGGTCGACGGAATGTCTAGGATCTCTAGGAATTTCGAGTTCTGGTCGGTCGTGCGCCTGAGAGAACCATTCTGATCAATCTCTCTTGATATCGTTTTCGTGTCGGCTTTTATGCTACTTTGCAACAAACAGAGCGGCTGTTTGTTGACCTTCCGGTTATTCTGCGCGCGGATGTTCGGCGTTTCTTTGTTAATAATCTAAATAACGTTTCTATTGTGACGATTTCCCGGATCGTCACAAGTATTATAAATTTGTATAAGGGTCTCTTACAAAAAATTATTATTGATCGGTTAATAATAAATTACTATTACTAAGTGGTTTTATTTCTAGTGGCAAAGAATTTTGAGTAC